CAGATTGTGCTTTGTCAGAGGAGGTGAATGGAACACTAAGATTGTTTTCTTCAAGCTTTGTGGGTTTTAGATTCATTCAATCAAACCAAGGTTTCTTTCACTCTAATCTTATCTGCTTGTCCTTCCACTGTGAGAACTGTCCTTCGATTTAAAATATGATTGGTAGATGAATAGTTTGCATTTGTGGGAGGGATTCTGGATCCTGTCACAGAGCAAGTGAACAGAGTTCATGGAGGTAGCCTTCCGCTTCCTCCAGCACCCCCCCCCCCAAATCTGCTGAAGACTGGAGAATCCATAGAATGCATGTACCATGGCAGGTGGCGAAAAGGACAGTAAGGAGAGGGAATGCAATGTAATTTATTCCACTACCTCTTGTGCAAATTACACCACAAGTAGAAGACTGAGGCAAGTTTGCTCAGTGCCTTGACAGCAGAAGTCTGGATTTCTCTCACTTGATTTCCTGTCATGTGCTTGTAGCTCAGTTGGGCCCGTATTGAGGGTATACTGGGTCTGGAAAGGTTGAAGGCCATCTTGCTGTCCAGACTTGATGGCAGTCAACAATCAGAATGAAGGAAGCATACCTGACAAGTACTTTTTGTGATCAACAAATGGTTTCTACAGGTACAGAGTCAAAGCATTTAAAGGGTGTTGGTTTTGGATGAGCAGCCTCTAGTGCTCAGTGATTTCAAATCCAGGTGTTAGATACTGCAAAGCATTAATCAGTCTGCAAGGAACACCCCTAAAGATTCTGGAAAGTAGCTAAGCTAAACAACTCAAGTGGGCTTGCCACAGTCCAAAGGCACCAATTTATACACATATGCTTGGAATGTGTCTCAGCAAAATATATCTGTATATATCGCCAGACCTGCTTTGCCACAAAATGTAAACATGGTGATTGGATTTATTCAAAAAAGCCTAAAAAATTTACACATGTTGGCAAGATACAGTTCTCAAATGTGAATTTTTATTTATCCCATACATGTTCCCATGCTTGATTGGAGTAAACAATCAGAATAAAGGAGTCATCATACCTGACAGGTACTTTATGTGATTAACAAGTGGTTTCTAAAGGTACAGAGGCAAAGCATTTAAAGGAGCTTAGGTTTTGGAAGACTTTACTCCTAAAATTTAAGTATGGCAATTGTGAAACGTATTTGGGAGAGTTTCCAGAAGACAAGGGGGGAAACCCCAAAGGAACAGGATGACACGAAATATGGAAGAAGAACCTTCAGCCCATCCATGAGTAGGTTGCCTTGAGAAAGGGTAAAATAAGGAGTCATCTCACAGCGCTATCAAGTTAGGCCAGGCTTAGCTTAAAAACAAAACTGCTAAAGAGGATAATTAGTCAAAGGAAACAAAATTTACACTGGAGAATGGTTATTACAGCAACCCAGAAGAGCTACCCAAAGGCTAAAGACTATTTCTTTCATATACTTCTGTCCCACCCTTCCTCCAAGGATCTCAGGGCAATGTACACAGTCTCCTTCCCCTCCCTTTAATTCTCCCAACAATCATGTATGGTCAGGCTTGGAGACAGTGCTTTGCCTGGGGTCACCTAGTGAGCTTCACACAGAACTGAGCACATAGAACAGGCCGCCCTAGTCTAAGTCCAACACCCGATGAAATCATCCACATGGAAGTTACTTTGCATTCTGCTTTCTTTATATCTGAATAGTCTGCCTAAGTGAGCAATGTAAAGTCAGTGCCATTAGCTCAAACAAGATTTTCACTTTTCTCTTGTGAATTCGAAAACTGCAACTTATTTTTTTAGTTCATGGAATGGAACCCTCTCCTGAGTTTGTGATTTCATTGTTACCAGAGGTCATTTCGGGGGGGATCGCAGTTTCCCCGGGTGAGGTGCGGGGGCGGGGCACACGATGAAGCTAATGAGTTATGCTAATGAGTTCCCCTAGCTCTTTTTCTACGAAATGACCCCTGATTGTTACTATAATTTTTGTGCGTGTGCAGAAGTTGGCATCAGTGCATTGCCAGAACCAACGTTTGTCCTCTTCTCAGGGCTACCTCTTTGCCGTATTTTTGTATAAATCATACCTGTCCTAGCAGTTGCCCCAATCCACTTGTATCAATCTTCTTTCTTCCATATTGATTTTAAATTTGCATAAATTGTTTAACTGATGTTTATATACTACCACATCCCATTCTAGTAAATTTACATAAATATTCAAATATTTAGAAGAGAAAGGAAAGAGAACAAAGCTTTCCCTTAAATATTCCATAATCCACTCCATCATAAACAATAAATTCCCTAGGCTACTGCCCACAGAGCAAGTGCCAATTGTGACAGAGTTCTCCGTGGGAAGAAGATGTTGTTGAGTCACAACCAACTCATGGCAACACCTTCCACAGGGTGTTCCAGGCATGAGAGGATCAGAGGTGGTCTGCCATTGCTCTCCTCCATGTAGAAACCCCTGTCTTCCTTGGTGGTCCCCCATCCAAGTATTGATCATGGCTGATCCTGCTTAGCTCCCAATCCCTGATGAGCTTAGTCCAAACTGGACTAACTGGGCTACTTATCTATGAGAAGGAAGAGACAAAAGGCCCAAGGAGCATTGAGGCCAGGGGACATATATCTTTTACATCTTACAGCTTTGGATTTTAATATCTAATTACACTATTTCTAAAAGTGATAAGCTGACTAAGTTGGACTGAAGAGTATTACATGGCACATAATTAGAAACAAGCAAGAGTATTTTTGTTGTGTTTGCTGTTGAGTCACAGCTGATTTATGGCAACCCTGTAAGGTTTTCAAGGCAAGAGATGTTCAGAGGGTTTACCATTACCTGCCTCCATGTTATGACCCTGGACTTCCTTGGTGGTCTACCATCCAAATACTAGCCAGGGCTGACCCTGCTTAGGCTCCAGCATCTGACAAGGTCAGGCTAGCCTGAGCTATCCTGGTCAGGGTAAGCAAGAGTATAGGACTGGCAAATAGCTCCCCCACATTTCCTCTCCCGCTGCCAAGTTCCCCCCTCTCTCATGTGAGTTTGAGGGGGAAATATGCATTCCTGATATCAATTTTATCAAATTTCAGCACCTGTAAGTCAAAGATATTTCAAGGAGAAGGTCTAGTGTTGCGGACAAAGTATCAAATTCAGACTGGAAAAATGTGAGCTGAAAACCCCATTCAGCTCATGGGATGACTTCAAGCTAATCTTTCTCTAATTAATCACACAGGGTTGTTCTCGTGATAAAATGGGCAAATTTTCATTTTTCAAGGAATGGTGAGGTTTTTTGTCTTTTTTAAAAATCACTAAATAAAAACACGTGCTTAAATCTCTCCCACTGAAATCAGTGGGACTCGGTGTTCCCTGTATCATGTCCAGAGTTTGTTGCTGTAGACAGGGCTTTTTTCCTGGGAGAATGCGTTGGAATGGTGCTCAAGGACCTCTATGACAAAATTCTTTTTAAAAGGTTTAAAAGTTTCAGTATACAGGTTGAAAACTTCATTTTCCCCTTGAGAATTTCAGCACCTCTTTTTCCAAGGGGGGGGAAAAAGCCCTGCATGTCGACATCTAATTTATCCTATTGAAGCTCCCTCTATCCTACAATTGGTTCTTTCATTTTTCTGGCGCTTCACAAGCAGTTAGGAGATCTGATGGAATGAAGTACAAGAACTGCTTGCTGGACCACTCTGTTAACATTGCCTTGAATTCCACCCTTAATTTCTGCTTGTAAAGTGTATTCCTTGGCACTACATGGCTCATGCAAGATGCTTAGAGCCAGAAGAACATAGTCCACAAAAGAGGAATGTACTGCAGAAGGAAAAGGAATATACAGGATCCAAGCCATTATGATCAATGTGACCTATCGGGTGGATTTCTGACAAATGGTGGGGGGAAAGAATACTTCCCCATTCACAGCTAATCAGTTGCCTTAAATAGTCAAGTCAAACATACCTCCCAGGTTGTGCCCTGGCCATCCCTTATGAAGGCTAACCACCATCAAGGCTTTCTCTCAACCAGTATAGCACATACCTTCATTCTGCTATCCATACTCTGATGGAAATCCAAACATTCTAAAGCCTGTCTATCAAACTCTTTTTGATCGCTTGTGTTGAATACTATGGGCTTCACAGCACAGCTATACAATAAAGTGAACTATCTCTACCAGGAAGCAGTCTGAGGCAACTACCTTAGACAGAAGGCTTTTGTCACCACTGTAGGTGACAAACTTGTAGGTATTTAGCACATAATGAATTTAAGTGATGGCCACAAGAGACTTTACTTATCTCATATGCAGGTTGCACAGGAATCCTTACTTACTGAAGTGTATTTATCCCTCAGCACATGAAGGCACTATACATATTGGAGGCCTCACGCTATGGTAAGAGTCTTTTAATTATCGTTCTCCTCGCAATGTCATCATGAGTAAGGGCATAACTGAAACTGTCCTTATACTTACAACAGACCTTCAGTTTGCTCTCTTATTGCAGTTCAAAAAATGATTATATCAGTGTGCTATGACACAACAACAAATCAATTTTTTACCCTATTGGTCTTATGAAAACTCATGTATGCACTGTGTAGGAGATGGACAGATTTTTGGCTTGAGTGCAACAACAAATATAAACATCTTTTCCATCTTCTTACTATTCTGAACAATGCATTATAGAAACCTGAATATGTTATTTGAGATGTACACACAGTACACATTTTTCCCCCAAATGCACTTGAAACTGTATGCATTAGATAATAGGATTATCACTATTCTGTTCTCTACAGAACACAAACAAGCATGGCCATACCATGTGGTATGCCTTCTTCAATGCATTCTTAAACAGATTTAACCCTTCTAAGCCCATTTTCTTCAATGGACTTAGAAATGTGTAACTCTGTGTAGGATTGCACTGTTGATGGTGTGTAGATGAACTGATAGCAGATATATAGATGCAGCTATGTAACTGTATAAAATTGTAGGTTTACACATATACACAAGGAGGTAAACTTGAGAGGGATAAAAGAAACAAAGATGTTTCTTACCATGTGCCACCCAGCCATGTTTACACTGATCACAGGTTCTCAGGTTTATCTTCCCTGGCTGGAAACATTCACATGTGCAATTTACCAAGGTGCAGCGAATGGCCTGGAAAAAGAAAAAAGAAACCAACTTCTTAATAGATAAATAATAATGCTCAGTAGAGCACCTTAGACTGTCCAAAGTACTTCACATGCATTGTCTCGATAACTTTCACAACAGCCCTGTAAATTAGATCAATTTTATTAATCTCATATTGCGGATGTGAGCACAGGCAGCAGAGCAGTGATTTGTCTGAAGCCATGCAATGGATCTGTAGTTCAAATGGAATTTAAACTCTCAAAAGAAATTCAGGCTGGCATCCAAAGGGGACCATGAGCACATCCTTCTCTGCACATGGGTAAGGTGAACCTTATTTTGCCTTCTGGCTACAGTTCCATGATCAAATGCTGCTGAGGAAAAGTCTCCCAAGTTTTACATGCAAGGAATCCTGATGCTATATGCAGAACACTATACATGGACTTTTGGATCTTAAAAGTAAATATAAATGTAATTCATATTTTGCTATTTAAATAGCTCGGAGAAGGAAGGAGACAAGGTCTAGACTGATCTTGTCAGATTCTGGAAGCTAAGCAGGGTCAGTACTTGGATGGGAGACCACCAAAGAAGATGCTGCAGAGGAAGGCAATGGTAAACCACCTCTGCTTCCCACTTGCTTTGACAGCCCCTTGCTGGGGTCACCATAAATCAGTTGCAACTTGATGTCACATGCCTACATTTCTAAATATCTGCTTGTGGTATACCTTCCATTTTTCATTTTGTTTACATTAAAAGTCTTGCTTTAAAAAAAAATTAATTTAGGAGGTTGTTATGCAAGTAAATATATTACTGCTGTAGAGCAATTCCAGTTATAAGTTGCATTGAGTCATCACCATCCTCCCACGAAAATGAATAAATGCATTTACACAATGCAGACAAAAGCCCCTTTTTGGGTTTTAAACGTGTGTGTGTGTGTGTGTGTGTTGCACAGATTTCCTGGTTTTAGCTTACCAAGTACCTGAAGGAATTTTCTGTAATGCTAGTTATGTCTTCGCATTGCAGCACATCATGTTAGGTATAAGTAAGAATGAAACATATACCTAAATATACATAAATGCAGTGCAAAGTTCCCCCTCACACACACACACTTCGTATGTTCTCATGTTCCTTTTTTGAAGATTTATAAAAGGTTTAGCTCAGTTAAGCATCAGAATGAAGTCTCTCGTTCAACATGCTCAAAAGCACCACTATGTTGATCGAGATACAGAAAAGGACTGACTCTAGAGACACACAGAAACTTTCACATACCTTGGTCACTCCTTTCCTTTTTCCTAGGTAACGTTTGCCTTTTGACAACTGATGTATTTCCTTTAAAAACATAACCCTCTTCCCCTTCTTAAAATGTAATATAAGAATATAAGATTTAAAGACATGCTGTATGCATAGAAAGATTACTTGGAAGGAGAAAAGATGAATAATTTCTCTAAACTATAAAGCAGATACATAAATAACACGAGTATGTCTTTTTATTATTTTTTTAAGAGAAGTCCAAGACCTCAGTTTTTAAATAGTACAAAAGATGACCTGTGCTCTTCAAACTACTACTAGTAAATTTATGGCGTGCATTTAGGCTTAATTTGCACAGAGATTTTTGAAATGGAGGGAATTATATTCATCATTCACACATTAACAATCTACTGTAACTACTGGAGATGCCAGGAAATGATCACTCTACCAATTTAGATGCAACTAGTGATTACTCAAGGGTCATCTGGAGATGGGGGAAGGGTGGTACCTGCAACTGCAATTTGCTGAATGCTCTTTTAACTGATTTGTGCAACTGCAATCCTATGCATCAATTACAAACTAACTATGTCTCCGAACACACACACACACACACACACACACACACACACACACACACACGGTGAGACCTACTTGCAATTAAGCATTACATCCTTCTAAGTCCACTGAAGTCAATGGGCTCAGAAGTGTGTAACTGCATATGAATACACTATCTGTTGGGTTACATAGAGTACCTAGAATTCCAGGATTTGTTGGGGGGCAAGAAGGGCTATGAGGGGAACAGGGTGGCAATGTTCTGGTATGCATACAGAACAGCTAACACAACAGTGCCCACTTGGTTTTTGCCATTATCAACTGTCCCCCAACCAAAATGTGTGAAAGGTGAATAGATGCTATTTTCAAGACTACTATTTTCAAGACTTATATTAAAGCCAAATTTTACAATTCTTTCTTTTGATCATTGGGCTCTCATAAAATATGGCTGCCTTCTTCTACATGATTTTTTTCACAAATGTATCTCTTGTATTTGCCTTACACTTTCCTCTTCCCAGCTGCTGCTTTATATTAGCTTCAAAAAGCATTGTTGGAACGGGGAGAAAACTCTCGCTATATTGCTCCTGACATATAAAGTTGCCCCAACCAATGTCAACTGACCAACTATTCATTAGCAAGGTTGTAAAACATTGTCGTACCTCCAGTGATTAAAAGAATTAGTAATATGAAATATAAGAACATCTGCAAACTGCTGACCAGGCAAGAATAACATATGTGATTGTGGGCTACAAGATGAAGGGGGGGAAATCTTCCAAAAGGTCCTTCTCTGTGTTCAATAGTTTATTGACTCAGTAATATATCAGATCTCCCCTAGTCAGTAATGGTGTCTTTCTCTAATATGTTCATTAATTAATGAACTCAGTAATTAATTGCCTTGCAAAAAGACAGAAAGCATTACAGAATGGTGCTTCCTGAGATAACAAATGCTTCGTTTCAAATTTTATGCTTAGCTTCATCCTTCATAGTTAGATTATGTTTACATTATAAGAGAGGTGTGTAACAATCACAGCCCACTAAAATGGTGACAATTGCTAGAGCACCTATGTGAAAGACTGGGAAGAATTTTCATTAATCTCTACCTACTTTCTTTCTGTTCTGGAAAAGGTCACTAGGATGGTTGTTAAAAATTAGATTCAGCCTGAGATAGAGCATTTCAGTCATGGATTAAGTTTTATTGCCTGAAATCCAAATGATCCATTTAGCTGTTTTGAGTATTTTTGGTGCGTGGGGGGGGCCTTCCTTTTTCTTTATCTTTGTGCATTCATATTATTCACACACAAAAATAGCCATATGAAGCAGTACTGGATAGATTATTCACAAAAGCCAATCTAAGGAGAGATTTCAGGCAGCATTTAATCATACCTCATGACTCAATAATAAAATTATTTAACATCTGAAAATGTATATAAATTGAATTGCATTGTATGAAAACAAAGTTGGATATAAGTTAAAGTGAAACTTCTTGCTATCCGGATTCTAAATACATTTACTTAAGCGTCACTCGCACTGATTCCAAATTTATTTAATTCCAAGTAGGTATGCTTAAAATGTCATTTTAAATACATGCATTAGTTTAAATACATGCATTAGATAATGCAGATATCGATTCGTATGATAATGTTACAGTTTATCTGCATGTAACAAATATAGTCCAGTGCATAGCATAAATTTGCCATTCTAAACACAGCTTAAACAAGCCCTTTTATGTCACATGCATTTGAAACCGACCCACAAAATGGAGATTGCTAGCCACAGGGTGAACTAGAGTTGCCAGTCTCCAGCTGGGGCCTGGAGAGATCTCCCAGAATTACATTTGTTCTCCAGATGATAATCAATTCCCCTGGAGAAAATGGCTCATTTGAACTCTACGGATTCCAGGGATTTCCCAGCCTGGAGCTGGCAATCCTCATCCTGGCCTGCTTCGTAAAGCATATGACCAGTGTTCCCTCTAAGCTGAGTTAGTGTGAGCTAGCTCACTGTTTTTTAGCCTCCGGCTCACACGTTTTTGTCTTAGCTCAGGAAGGATGACTCCAGAGCAAACTGATTCATGCAGTAGCCAAATCGCTCACTCACAACTTTAATGCCAGTAGCTCACAAAGTAGAATTTTTGCTCACAAGACCCCACAGCTCAGAGGGAGCATTGCATACGACTTCTGTAATGAGCCACTTACTTGATGCACTAGTTAAAAATCATTCTAGTGTTCTGAGGCCTTAATAAGATAGGGTGTAGAGGTGGATGGGTAGGGCTTCCAACTCCAGGTTGGGACATGCCTGGAGATTTGGAGGTGGAACCTGGGAAGGGCAGAGTTTGGGGAGGGAAGGACCTCAGTAGGGTATAATGCCAAAGAGGCCACCATCCAAAGTTGCTATTTTTTTCAAGGATAACAGATCTCTGTAGTCAGGAGATCAGTTGGCAACCTCCCAAATGGAAGTTCTGATGACCACTAATTACAGTCAGAACTAGTGTTATGAAAGAGCAAACTGCCTTCTTCAGAGATGTTGCCTTGTTCATAAAAATGGTACAAAAAGTGGGCAGGTTGCAGAATGTATTTAGAACAGTGAAAGAACACACAATCCTATACACATTGAACACAGTTGGACTTGCACTGAATGCACATTAGACTGGGTAGTTTGTGAATTATATCATTTGTATGACTGACATGGAAGTGCACCATACCAAGTTGCATTATTCCTCAAACAAATGCTAACACATAAGAACATAAGAGAAGCCAATGTTGGATCAGGCCAATAGCCCATCCAATCCAACACTCTGTCACACTGTGGCCAAAAATACCAGGTGCCATCAGGAGGTCCACCAGTGGGGCAAGGACACTAGAAGCCCTCCCACTGTTGCCCCCCCAAGCAACAAGAATACAGAGCATCACTTGCCCCAGAGTCCCTATCTATACCTTGTGGCTAATAGCCACCGATGGACCTCTGCTCCTAATCTATATATCTAATAGCGAAGGCGCCCCCTGCGTGTGGATATCTAAATCTGCACATTGGGGGCACCTGGGGGGCAGGGAGATTTTCCTGCACACTTGGGGCAGTCCTCAGGTGTTCACAAAAATCTAAAAAGTTGAAAAATATAGGGGGGGTATTTAAATCCCCCCAAAAGTAAAAGAGCATTTCCTGCACATGCGCAGGGAACGCTCTGGGAACTCTGTGGTGGGCTGGGGGTTGGAAGCCTCTCAGGCCTCACCGCCGGA